TAAAACTGAGGTCACTGCCCTACATGAGTGCGCAGAAACTACAGCCCGCAGGCCACGCCCACTAGCTGCCCAGTTTTGCAAATAAAGTTTTATTGGGACACAGCCACACTCATTTGATTACCTACTGTTTATGGCTGCTTTTGCACTACAGCTGCAGAGCTGAGTAGCAGCGAGAGACTCATGGCCGGCAAGGCCTAAAATATTACCTGGCTCTTTACAGCCAAGTTGGCTGACGATGCTCTAGCTGAGCTGAATTTTGTTCTGGAGCAATTCCCACCACCAAAGGACTATGATACTTGAAAGTGCTGGTCCGCAGCCTCGGAGAACGAAGTCAAATGGTTATGGTTTGGTGCAAGTCTCTCAGCTCGCGTGGACAGGGCTGTTTTCAAAAACCTTCACAACGCAATTCCTGTGGGGATGGTTGCTGGGGCTTCATTCTGTCAGATACACTCTTTGATGAGGCCCAGAGGCAACAGAGCTCTGCGATCCCAGCACAACAGTTAACGTGCTTAAAAACCAAAGGATTATGAATGGTCCACTCATCCCGTCTCTATGCATCTTCTGACGACATTCTGCTGGGCTGGTACCCTTCTCATGGCAAAAGGAAACTGGAGCACAGGAAGGGGCCAGCTACAGAACAAACTGCACTGTCTTCTCGACAGGAGTCCTCAGACTTGCCTGGGCTTTCTACCTACTGTGATGGGTAGGTATGGCACCTAACGCATTCAGAAACTCAGTTTTTGTTTTCTCAACATTTGGGATCTTCTCCGACTTTACCTAACTAAGCTAATGATCTGTAGTAAATACACTAAGTATTTCCCCACCTGAATTCCTAACAAAGCAAGGCCGAAGAGTAGAAAGGAGAAACATATTTTAGCAAATGTGTCTTATTTTATTTAAAAACTAAGAGGGAAAAACAAATGTAATGTGATAACGCCAAGTTAGAGCTACATTCTCAAAAGAATCATCTGGCTTCTACCTTAAGAAATTATAAAAAGAACTATTTAAACCCAATGTAAGGAGAAGAAAGGAAATACAAAAATAAGAAAAGTCAATTAAAAAGGAAAAAAACAAGATATCAATGAAAACAGAAGCTGGTATTTTGAAAAGATCCATCAAAGCTGTTAAACCTCCAGCCAGACAGAGCAAGAAATAAGACACAAATTACCAATATCAAAAATAAAAAAAGGGCCTCACTACAGATCCTACAGCAATAAAAGAAGGGACCACTGTTAACAATTTTATGTTCATAAATTAGATGAAAGGGACAAATACTCAAAGATTTAAATGATCAAAACTACCAAAAAAAAAAAAAGTTAACGAAGAAGAAATACATCAGTGAACAGCCCTATGGAACGTCGAACGAGCTGAGTCAGAGCTACAGGCCTTCCCACAAAGTTCCCACGAAGAAGCTGCAGGGCCAGGTGCGTCTGCGCTGACGACCCCACCGAGCTCTGGCGGAAGCAGCGGCGCCGGCTGCACGGGACCCGCGGAGCGCGGAAGGAAGGGGCACGTCCCCACTCCCGCCAGGCCAGCTTTCCCTGGTACCAAACCGGACAAAACTACCAAACAAAAAAGGACTGACCAATATTTTTTGTGAGCACCGAAACAAGTGTCTTCAAAAAGCACTAGCAACCCAATCCAATATATAAATAGATGACAGATCACAATCGAGCGGAGTTTATCTTGGGGACGCAGGCTGCTCAGCGTTCAAAAGGCAAGAAACTGATCACACCAAGAGACTAAGAAGGCTCTTATCATAACCTCAATCGATACTTGCAACAACAGCGGCAAAAACACTGGCAAAATTCAACATCTATTCATGATTTAAGAGAGAAAAAAGAGCCTGTCAGCAAAGTAAGTGTAACAGGGAACCTCCTGAATGTAGGAAGCGGCCCAAGGGAAATACAAGGGGACGTCTTTACCTGACAAAGGGCGTTGCCCACACCCTCGGCCACTGCCACCCTCGGGCGAGAGGCAAGCGCTCTCATCTGAGCGAGGAACTAGGCAATGGCGCCTGCTCGCCGCGCTCCTCGACAGCATCCTGGGCGTCCAGCCCACGCAATGAGGCAAGAGAAAGAAACAACCGCACACAGATCAGAAAGGAAGAAATAAAACAGCCTCTACTCACAGACAACATGACAGTCTACATAGGGAAATACCAAGAACTCTACAAAAATGGTCCTAGAACTAGTAAGTCTAGAAAATGGCAAGTTCACTGTTTTTAAAAAGCAATTTATTTCTACGCACATCAAAAATCGAAATTAAAAAAAAAGCACCATCTAGACCAGCACCAGGAACCATGGACTATAACTAGAAATCTAACAAAATGTGCGCAGGACCCGTACGCCAAAAACAACAAAGCCAATGAAGGGGAAAAAAATAATGGCAAGAGTTTGATCACACTCATAGTCTGGAAGACTCAATACCGCTGAGATGCCAATTCGCCCCAAATTTATCTGTAGATTTAATGCAAACTGAATGAAAATCCCAGCGGATTTTTTTTAACAAACGTATTCTAAAATCTATACCAAAAGGCAAAGAAACTAGAATAACCAAAACAATTTTTCTTAAAGGGTAAATCTGGAGGATTCATACTACCTGATTTCTACACTTAACGTAAAGCTACAGTAATCGAGGCAGAAGTAACTGGCAGAAAGGGAGACGCACAGATCAACAGACGAGAGCAGGAAAGACCAAACATAAATGGTCACTGATTTTTGACAGAAGAAATTAAGAGGCAGAAAGAAATTAAACTTGTATCCTGAATATAGAAAGAACTCTCAAAACTCAGTAACAATTTCTGTGCACCAAGGGGCACAATCAACAGAATGAAAAGACAATTCATGGAGTAGGAAAAAATATTTGCAAGTCATATATCTGATAAGGGGTTAATATCCAGAAAAGATACAAGAATTCCTACAACTCAACAACTAAAAAATAAATAACCCCATTAAAAAATGGGCAAAGGACTTGAACAGAGGGTAAATTTTATGTTAGGTGTATTTTACCACAATTATAAGAAAACACTCAATAATAAAAAAAGAACCCCAATTAAAAATGGGCAAGAGATCTGAACACATTTTACCAAAGATGGTACATGGATGTCGAGTAAGTTCATAAGCAGATGCCCAACATCACTAGTCTTTAGAGAATTGAAAACTAAAACCACAGTGACTACACACCTAACTTGTGTGGCTAAAACTAAAAAAACACAAAAACCGAAACCACCCTGATGCCATCAAGTGCTGGTGAAGACGCACAGCAGCTGCGGGACGCACAGCGGTGCGGACAGGTCTGGCAGGTAGGCCAGGCACACCGCAAGTCCACTCCTCAGTATTCACCCAAGAGAAAGGAAAAGTCACGTTCGTCCAAAAGCCTGCACACTGGAGCAGGTTTAGTCACAATCACCCCAAGCTGGAAACGAGCCAAATGTACCGGAACTGGAGAAGGAACACGTGAATCACTCCACGTTCGCACACTGCAATGCCCTGGGCACTAGAAAAAACTGACGACAAAATAGAACAGAGCCACTGAAACAAGCAGCGTCCCGGGGAATCGCACACGCGGGGCCGAGGGTAAGGCACCAGGTCTGCAAGGGCTACATGTACACAGCTGAGCTCGCCGGCACGGCATTCTGGAAAAGGCTAAATGTCTCCGGACGGGAACAGAAAACACCCCAGCGGTTGCTAAGTGCTGGGCGAGGGGCATGGCCAACCGTGAATGGGCACAAGAGCGCGTTTCAGGGCGAGGGAGCCGCCCTGTATTTTGACTGCAGAGGTGGCTACAGGACCACATGTTTGTCAAACTCACAACTGTACAGTGAGCATGAACTTTACTGTATGTAAATCCTACCAGTGAGAACAATAAAGGCATTCAGAAAATGAATGTAATGGGATAAAGTAACACCAAATTATTCCATCACAACCAGCTAATTCAACAGTCAGAAGGTACGAAGTTACTGCATATGTTTAATCTGACTGAAATACTTTACCCATCAGTACAAACAGAGGCTGTACTTTAGCTTTACAAATTAACCGTTAAGGTTAGTATTATTTAATGATTTCTTTTATCATCATTTAGGGAGGCATTCAAAAGCCCACTCCATCTTATTTGAAATCACTGTTTCTGAATAATTAATTCACCCATTATCTAGTACGTGCAGATTCAAACATGCACGACAGGATCAGGGCAGAGTGCAGAATGTGCTTCCCCCCTTCCGTTTGCCCAGCGGTGGATCCGGCGGGCTGGTAGACGGAGTGCCAAGTACTGCACTGCGACGCGCTCTAACTTTTCTGTTCATTCTCTAAGGGGAGGGGAACAGTCAACTCTCTTCGAGGGAGCACAGGGGGACTCGTGGGAGAGGCTCACTTCGTGTCAGGCACAAACAGGTGCCGTTAGCCAATTTAAACGCGTGGAAACCACAGCTTTGGAAGGGGACTGGGCGGCTTGCCCCTTTCTAGAGGGAAAGGGGGAGACCAGGATTGGAGTGCAGGGCAGACAACGCTCTTCTCCCGCCCAGCTCACTGCTACTTGCTCTGTGCCCATCTGCAACTGCTTAAGCGATAGCTCAGGATCTACATGTTTCCAATCAACAAGTGTCTTTTAAGATTTTATTACCCACACGACCTGGTTTATTTTAAACCCCAAGCCTACAACACATGCATATGTACTCAGGTTGAAGCGGTTTCCAATTTATACAGTGTACAGTGTCTTTTTTTCTGATCACTCAAGAATTTAAAAATAAATAATCTAATTTCTCCAGTCGGGGATAAAAACAGCAAAAATACCAATAACCACCAGAAGGATATTTGAAAAAGCAATCATTTTCACTCTTGACCTTAATAAAGAATTTATTGCAATTCTAATTTTAACAAAGGAATATAGAAAAGTTTTTCCCCTTTCTTTGGACTTCCTGACAGCTGGCTTTCCTCTATTGTTTTCGAAAGCTGCCAATATCCTGAGCTGCACACAGATTATTTACTGCAGCACAAACTCACCCTGTGAAGCGTCACTGTGTGCTGTTCCCATATCGCTGTTTCCTCCATCGCTGTGCTCTGGGAAAGCAAAAGAGAAGCAGTCATTTACCTTTTAAGAAAACGACTCCGATAAAGTGAACAAGAACATCGAGCTAACAACTTAGCACATTAAAATTCATACTGTTAATATCGAATACTCTGAAAAAGGGCGTCGTGATTAACCAAGGCTTTTTGGTTTGCTTTTGCCGTAGGAGACAGGAAACTACACACAGGAACTTCCTTTGTTTTTAACTTAATTGGACAGATGCCGTTCAATGTGCATTTCTTGCCAGCAGAGATCAGTATTCCAGCTAATTCTGCAACTTTATACGTCACATGAAATAGAAAATAAAAGTTGGAATAGCATTATTTTAAAATATCTACCGACACATAAGACATTTTAAAGCATTTCTTATGCTATGCAAACAAACGGGTAAGTCAAAGAGATACCTCTGAACCCAACGGTTATAAATATTCGCGTTACAGGAAATTAGATGGGGCCATTTGATAGGTTTGGCCAATGGTTGCTTTACTATCACGGTTAAACACGACTGCTCCATCTATAGTTAAGGTTTTACTACAGAACTGTCTTCTCAGGCTTTTTCCTGAAGGAACAAATGGCTTTTCCCGTTTACCACTGTGCATGCACACCACCCTCCAAGGCAGAAAAACTCCAAAAAAACCTCCGCACAAATCACCATAAAATGAGAGATCGCTGCAAGCTCCGATGAAGCCCTACTCAAACCACTGTGTAGTTGGTTCATCTACTGTCAAGAAACTCTTACGAGAGGGAAACAAATTAGTATCCACAGGATGAGCACTAAAAAATTCAAAATAAATTCCTTATAAATTGGGTCAATGGCTCTTGGAAGCTTAAAGTAATTCAGTCTCTCTTACCACGTTATGGAATTAGGGTTCCTAAATGTAATACATCTACCTATATACAAATTTTTAAAGGCCTCTGCAGTTAACAAACGGGGAGGGGACTGCTGAGCACGGCATTCTCAGACCACCAACTGTTTCGAAGGCCTGTTTCACAAGTGAGATCTGTTTTTGTCACACCGCTGTCATTAGCATCACGAGAACATGCCCATCGAGGTGCCAGGGGCCCATTTCTCCCTTCCCACAGCAACTTCAATCAGAGACTAAGCTACTTTAGAAAATCAATCCCAACTGATGGACAAAGCGGATCCAGAGACAGAGCGTGGAGCAGGCTGAGGGGTCTCAGAGGGAAGGTGGGGAGGGGGAGTGGGTGGGGAGGTTAACCAAAGAACTTATG